TAATCGTAAATTTTCGTAAGTTTACGCTCGCGTAAAAACTTGCGGAGGTTTACGCCTATTTATTTTTGCTGATGATTGAGCTATCGGTTTGTTAATATGTCTTGTATACTGATATTAATCTGAATTGTATCCTATAGGTATCTTATTTCCGCCAAATAACTATTTCAAATCGGGTTTATATCATGATCTTGTAATGCCGATTTGAACCCGATTTACCTTATTTTGACCTGTGTTAGTGGAAACAAGATTCTGTTTATTTATATATGGATTAGGATATTATTTATTAATCTTGTGACATTAGTATAGTGATCAGACGAATTTATGAAATACTCCAAAATTTGAAAAATTTGACCACTAAGATATATATAAATATATATTTTGGCCATTAATATGATCTACTAATCTTTAAAGTGTCACTAAAGTTGTATTGCTTGTGTTATAATATCTAGACCTCCAATTATTTACACCCTTGTCAAGTACTCTAAATTGATTAGCAATTTAGATACGTATTATTAATTATTTTTAAAAAAAGTTGATTTTGACTACTTAGTAATTTTTGTCTATTTGACTAGAGAATTGGTTATTCAGATAAGAAATTTTTCCTGGACTAAGATGTGTCATTATAATATCCAAAACTATCAAGCAAACTGATACACTTAAGCTGTTTTTAAGATTTAATGATACAAGAGACTGTGTAAAATAGTTGTAGCTCATTCTTATTAATTATAAAATCTAATGTATTTATTTTTTTTGCATTGTCATCCAAGATCCTTAATAATGTTATAGTGCTTTGAGGGCATGGTTTAATTGATATGAAAATAATTAACTCTTGAAACTTAGAGAAAAAATATTCATTTCATTCTAATGAATAAAATATCTCTGGCTTAATATTAAAAGTTTTTTTAAGAGCTTTAGTTATAGATAACTTAAATCTAGTCAACGTAGCACTTCTCTCAATAAATAATTTAAATAACAAATTAGCTAAATCATATATTACTATTTTGAAATCTTTTTTTAAACTAATTTTTAAGCAATCAATATAAATTTATATAGGTTAGGCGTGTTATCAGTCTGGATTAAAGGTTTAAAAAAAATTCTCAGGTTTGGTATTGATTTATCAATATGTAAATTAGTAACTAGAATTTACTTTGGGGACAAAATACTTGGATTTGATAACCAAATTTTAGCTAAGTTTTATAAATTCACCATGATGTTTTAATTAATAATAGTAGTTAATTCTAATTATTACTTGTGATTTTCTTCATAGGCCATATTCATCTTTCGGGCTCCAATATTGTTTTATATCATCATTTGCATAAAGAGTGGTCTCATCTTGGATAACAGAAACAATTTCAACCTCATCAGGATCAAGATTTGGCAAAATACGGTTTAAATTTTTATCATATCTGGACATTCATCTTCATAACCTGGCTATTTCCTGCAAAAAATCATTTCTGTACTCCACTACATCTTCACATTCATGACCATCAAAATAAATCTTTTTCATATGAGTTTGGTATCTTTATCCAAGCAATTTTAGCCATCTATATGCAAATGGCCTGCTAATAGATTTGCTTATGACTCCAAAAGTAGGCTTAATATAGCTAACATAACTCACAAAATTTGAAATAGATAATTTAAATTTATTTTTCTCTAAATATTGATTTATTTGACATTGAAAATTTATATTATATATTAACGATTTTGTTTTTATATGTTGACCACATTTTGACTTTATTGTTTTTCTATTGATTTGCCCAGATACGAATATGCCAAGCATCCTATGAGCTTTTATCCAAACACTTAGCTAGAAGTTTACTTGCTTTCATCTTCGTATACTCTTGATTTACAAAATAAAGAAATTGTCTTGTTGTATTGAGATTTATATTAACGGTTTTTGTTTTCAATTGTGTATCTAGTGACAATAATATAGAATTATTATCATTAACACAACTATCAAGGGTCTTATTTGATAAAGAAGCAAGTTTTGATACTGTAGGCCGATTTTTGTTAGAAGTGGTATTGGTTGATTTAACAAACGATTTATTTTTTCATTTTATAGCAGCAGCTTGTCAAGATTGTTTTGTGCATTTATTTGTCTTTGGCATTTTTATTTTATTTTATTTTATTTTTGGTATATATTTAATTTACAAGTTTCTGATTAAACACATATTTATAATTGCCAGTTTATATTCAAACGAAGCCTATCCAAAGCCAGTTTTGGAATACATACGTGCATACTACATACCATATTTTCATGTAATAATGCCATCTGTATGTTATTTGAGTATGTATATATAGGCATATTATTTTAAGTATGTACATGTGTGCTATTTTAAATTAAGGGCTAATTGTAATTGTTAATTTTATATTGATCCAAACATACACATTATTATGCGAAAATATGATATATATTGAGGCAATAGGCTTTAAAGAAATATCAATAGATTAGTTTTTTGAGCTCTATTTACATCATAAATGGAGCTCAAAAACTAGTATCTATTAGCTCCACTTGCAGCATCATTGAGTTCCATTGAAGCAGTGTTGGCTATGGCAAGACTATGATAGGTTGATATCATATGATTTTATATACTAATTGAACATAGTGATATAACCATTATTAAGTGAATTGAATACATATATATATATATATATAGTGAGGTTTATTTCAACACTATGTAAAACAATTATTATTTATTCTAATTAATAGGTTGAAAAATTAACACAAACATGGAGCAGCTCGACAATTGCGATTTATGAAATAACTAAGAATCTAAAAGATAGTAATTACATAATGGTGATGGTATATACGAAGCAGAGAAGTCTTTAAAAATTAATAGATAGTAAATATGATGAATTAAATTGGGTTATCTATATATATAACTGATGGGCTTAAGGCTAAAATTTAAAGTGCAAATTTTTAGAAATAAGTACGAACTTTATTTATCCTAATTAATATTTTAGGATGAAAATTAACACAAACAGGAGGCGACGCAATTTATGGAATAACTAAAAACCCAAAAGATGGTAATTACACGATGGTCATGGAGTATGCAAAGCAGGGAATTCTCTGAAAATTGATAGATAGTAAATATGATGAATTAGATTTGTTTTTTAAAATAGCTAACCTATATTATATAGCTAATTGATTTTAAAAATACATATGAATTTAATTTATGATTATTAAAGTGTAGTATTCTTATTTATCCTAGTTAATATTTTAGAATAAAAATTATTACAAACTTGATATTTGCGATTTATAGAATAACTAAAAATTCAAAAAATAGTAATTGTATAATGGTCATGAAGTATGCAAAGCAGAAAGTTTCTGAAAATTGATAGATAGTAAATATAATAAATTAGATTGGGTTTCTAAAATAGCTAACCTATACATATTATATAGCTGATGAGCTTAAGAGCTAAAATTTATACATAGTGCAAATTTTTAGAAGTATAAACCTTGTAATTATTAAAGGATAATAATCTATATACATAGTTTTTTTTTTTCATAATTTTGCAAACATTCATATCTATAAGATCACATAGTTATAATTTTATGGATATTTATATTCATATAGGCACGTGACCAGGGTTGGGTATATCTTTTAAATATTCTTTGGACAAAGTGAAAATTTTTTATTTTTTTTTTATCTAATTATTTAATGATATGAATTATCTATAACTTATTTATTTAATATTTTAGGTTGAAAATCAATACAAACATGGGAGCAACTCAGCAATTGCGATTTATAGAATAACTAAAAACCTGAAAGATGGTAATTATATAATGGTCATAGAATATGCGAAGTAGAGAAGTTTCCAAAAATTGATAGATAATAAATATGAATTAGATTAGACTTCTAAAATAGCTAATCTATATTATATAGCTGATGGGCTTAAAATAATTTATAAGCTAAAATTTATATGTAGTATGAATTTTTAAAAATACAAACCTTAGCTTGTAATTATTAAAGTGTAATAATCTATATGCATAGGTTTTTTTTTTTTTATAATTTCGCGGACATTTATGTCTATAAGATCACATAGTCATAATTTCACGAACATTTATGTCTATATGGGCATGTGACCAGAGTTGGGTACATCTTTCAAATATTCTTTGGATGAAGTAAAAATTTTTTATCTAATTATTTAATGATATGAATTATCTATAACTTATTTATTTAATATTTTAGGTTGAAAATCAATACAAGCATGGGAACAACTCAGCAATTGCGATTTATAAAATAACTAAAAACCTGAAAAATAGTAATTACATGATGGTCATGGAGTATGCGAAGCAGGGAAGCCTCCAAAAATTAATAGATAATAAATATGAATTAGATTAGGCTTCTAAAATAGCTAACTTATATTATATAGCTGATAGGCTTAAGATAATTTATAAGCTAAAATTTATACATAGTGCGAATTTTTAGAAGTAAGTACAAACCCTATTTGCGATTATTAAAGTGTATTAATCTAATTAATATTTTAGAGTAAAAATTAACACAAACAGGGCAATTCATAATGAATTAGGTTAGGTTTCTAAAATAGCTAACCTATATTATATAGCTGATGGATTTTTAGAAGTATGTACAAATTTAATTTATAATTATTAAAGTATAGTAATCTTATTTATTCTAATTAATATTTTAGATTGAAAATTATTACAAACATGAGAGTGACTTGACATTTGTGATTTATGAAATAGCTAAGAACCCAAAAGATAGTAATTACATGATGGTCATGGAGTATGCGAAGCAGGAAGTCTCTAAAAATTGATAGATAGTAAATATAATAAATTAGATTGGGCTTCTAAAATAGCTAACCTATATTATATAGCTAATGGGCTTAAAATAATTTATAAGCTAAAATTTATATGTAGTGTGAATTTTTAGAAGTATGAACCTTAATTTGTGATTATTAATTTTATTTATTTAATATTTTAGGTTGAAAATTAATGCAAATATAGGGCAACTTGGCAATTGTGATTTATGGAATAACTAAGAACCTGAAAGATGATAATTACATGATATGAAGTATGCGAAGTAGGAAAGTTTCTGAAAATTGATAAATAATAAATATGAATTAAATTAGGCTTCTAAAATAGCTAACTTATACATAGTTGATGAGCTTAAGATAATTCATAAGCTAAAATTTAAAGCGAGAATTTTTAGAAGTATGAACCTTAATTTGTGATTATATATATTATAATTAATATTTTAGATTGAAAATCAACACAAACATGGGGGTGACTTGACTTTTCGATTTATGGAATAAATAATAATTACATATTCATGGAATAGTAGATTGTAAATACTGTATAATGAATCAGATTGAGCTTCTAAAATAGCTAACCTATATTATATATATATATAGCCGATAGGCTTAAAACAATTCATAAAGCCAAATAAGTATATAACCCAGAAATATAATTAATCATAATTCTAATAAAATCATATAACTATAGTAAATAATGTAAATAACTTGGCATATATATACAGTAGAGTTCAGGAGCATGGACATGATATGTACCCAACTCTAAAGCTGCACCAATCTTAAATGAAATATCAGATATATATATATATATTAATTCAGTAGCTAGTAAGGTAATTATATAAAAGAAAAAATATCTACTAGAAGTAAAAATTATTTTAATTTAGCCTGTTTTTAGGCATCTAAATCAATTGATTAGATAATAATTGTGATAACGCTCAAGCATCACAATTGATAAATTGCATACTGTTTCTGTTTTTCGTAATGTTCGCTATACGTATTACCTAAAAACTTTATGAAATAAATTTTTTTTCAATTAACCGTTAAAGGTTTAACTTTAGTTATATTGGCTTCTCCTTTTAATGATTTTTAACAATTTAAATTTCTTTATTATATAGGAAAACATCTACCCAAATATTTCAGTTTTAGATCTTCTTTGCTGAGAAGATACATAGTAAATTTAAATAAATGAAAAATAAAAACACATAGTAGTATTTATTATGGTTTGATTAAACGTTAAAAGATTATTATATTTATTACACTTATTAATATGTCGATTATTTGTTTTAAAAGCTTCAAACATTAAAAAAAAAGTGGTATCTTTTTAGACTTGTTAGAAATTTGTTGAGAATTAATTATTTATTATGTTTGATATGTAAAATATAAAAGTAATGCTTGAGTGACCTTTATCAATAGTAAATTTTTGAAGAAAAAGGTGGGTTGTGTCTCACTGATTTGTTTATCAAAATGGTAACTAACTTGGTTAATTTATTCAATTTCGACTAATTAAAAATTGACTTCTGATACATTGAGTGAGGTGCTTGAAAACACCCTTTCCTTCAAAAATTTACAATTGATAAAGGTTATTCAAGCATTACTTTTACATTTTTTATATATCAAACATAATAAACAATTAATTTTTACCAAATTTCTACGTAATCAGTCTAAAAAGATTTTTAATGTTCAAAGCTTTTAAACAACTAATTGATATATTAATATAAGCATAATAAATAC